GGTATTGACTAGAGTTCGGAGCTGATTGTTGGCTTAATTAGTTAATGTTTATCGTATTAATTACAGTTTGGATTATTGTAGTTTGTATGCCTACATCTGCTATAGAAAATACTACATTATTATGTGCTGTAAATACAATTATTTGTTCGTAGGCCTAAGATACTTTCCATTTTATTCCATCACGGTCATGCACGAGATGCGTGATTAGTTACTAGGGGAGCTAGTTTATAATTATAGAGGGCGCTACTTCACAGCATATTAACAGCTATTGTTTACCGTTGCACACGGCGTATTATCTACATCGTCCAGTTATTAATTGAGAAGTAGTTAAGATAGTGAAAGTATATTCAGTATTATTGCTGAGTACTGTGATATAATGGCTTTAACTAAATCTTAGTTGATGTATTAATATTTACGGTCATAAAGTCAGGGTGATTATAATAAATGAAGATAAGTAATTAAAATAGTGAAGTTGTAGTACTGCATACTGTAGGTTGTTATTACTATAACTCTTTACTGAAATTGTTATTGTGTTATTGTTAATGACTATAAGAGAATTGTTGTTCTTATTCTAAGATGATGATTGACAGGTAAATAATTATTACATGGTAAATATTACATAACCAGTGTTAACTATCTACATGATTGTTACAGTGTAGTACAGGTAGCTTATTTTCTTCTATTTAGTGCCATCACTGGGTAGAGTGATCGTATCTTATGTGAACGTATTGCTCAGGAGCTGCAAAGCCGGGGTAAGCGATGGTTTAAATGTCGTTTCACAAAATCTTGTTATTAATATTGTGGTTGTATATTAATGTGATGGAAGTCTGCTACCTTGTATAATGGATGTAAAATGGAGGTTTCCATGTATAGTAATGATACTATAAAATATATAATATGTAATATGATCTCAACATTTCGTTAAGGTTAAAAGTGTGGAAAATGTTAATCAACGGCTTGTGACTCCCTGTCCACCGTTAATGAACTGGCATCTCTCTGATGACATACTTAATATACCATTTGCGAACTACATAAGATTAACAAAATTTAAGCAATTTATTTATAATTACACATAAAGTTAAAGCAAATGTTAAATGATTTCAAGTTTATTTTATTGCACTAGACTGATGTTTATGTCTTATGCATTGCAGGTTTTTCTCTGATTGGAAAATAAAAGAATTTAAGATCGGCAATGGTGTTGTCATCTTTTTCCTGTTTACATACTGAAAAATATTCACTATAAATTACAGTAAATTGCATGGACAGTTAGAGATTTCTCTATAGAGTGGCACTGTACCCAAAAAAAAAAATTAATTTGGTTTTTATGTGCAAAATGTTACTGAAAAGGTTGTGTAATAGGCTAATTGCCTGGGTTAATAATGGGCTTAAGCTAAAACAATATAACATTTTGCAGGCAACACCAAACAACATGCATGGATAGAGAACAAAAGTTTGAAAACAAACTTTAAGGCACATATTTTAATGTATAATAAATATTTTAAGGTTTAAAAACATTTTTCTTTAAGGGCAACTCAAACAACATCATACTACAAAGTTAAGTGCCATTTATCGTTGGAGAATACTAATGTAATGTTGCAATTTTTTTATTATGTCTTGGAGAACCCTCATAATGTTTTACTTTTGGCTATCCATGGAGTGCATTTTATATTTTTCTCCTGAAATTTTGTAATAAATAAATAAACATGTTTAAATAATATTCTACGATGAGACTGTCCCCAATTAATTTAAACTTATTAATAAGTAAGACAAATGCGGTTGACTGCTTGAATAACTTCTTAGGTACCCAGACTTTAATTTAAAATTGATCTATGAAACAAATCACTGAAAGTCCGAAAACAATGAACACATTCAAAGTTTTCCTTTCTTTGCAATTAGAATAGCACCTGAACTGCCTGTTCTCAAAGCAATTTGTTTATATCTTGTTCACATTTTTTTTAAAGCATAAATCGTATTGATTGAAGGACGGTGCAAAACCTCCCAATGAAAAAATGGTTATGTGTGAGTTTCACTTGTGTCATGTTTACATATATCTGTACAAATTTCAACCCAATCCAACTCATATTAGCTGAGCTATGAATGAAAGTAAAAACAATGAAAACAAAAATTAGTTTTTTCATTGAGTTTTATTCTCCAAAACTTTGAATATTCATGCTTCTGTGATATACATATTTTTATACCATCTCACCTCTTATCTCAGCAGTTTTGAATTCTTCCTTTTTCACTCTTACCCAATACATGTAAGGATGGATGTGTATTACGGTATGTTTATTTTGCATATAGGCAGC